GCGGGGGCTGGGGGCGGGGCGGGGCGGGGCCAGCCCTGCCCGCCCGGAAGCGCGCCGGCGGGAACCCGGCGTCTAGCGCGCGCTGCATGGAATCCCCGGACCGCAGGTGGCCGCGGAGATCGGCTCCACGCCCGCAGAGCCCTAAGTATGTGCTTCCCCCGTTCCCGGGCGGACTGAGGTGTGACTTGGAAGCGGCGGCGGGAGCGCCTACTCAGGCCGCAAAATGGGGTCCTGTGGCCCTCCCTATAGGACCTGGGGCTTTCCCAAAGCTGAGGAGTGCGAAGGTTGAAGCTGGGTTCCCATCCCCGTGTCTGGGCTGGGGAGAGTCCGATGACCCCGTAGGTCTAGGTGTCATTTGGCCAAATTCCAAAATTAGGCCAAGGAAGGCCCATGTCTGACCCCCTTTGAGCAAGGCTGCTTGCCTGCTATGGTGCACAGGGTCTTTCTGTCATGTCTTCTTCCCCGCCATGAGATTGCAGCTCCCTGACTCTTCCAGCAGAGGTGCAGACCCCAGGATGGTGGTCACCGGGGATCCCCACTCTGACCGGCCTAGGCACTGGGTTCTGGTTAGATGGGGGTGGGGTGAGAGGGTGCTCCAAGGCTCCTGCCTCCTGCCTGGGCTCCTCGACCCTGTGGGGAGGAGGGTTCCAGCCCCCACTCCTGCCCCTCTGCCTGCTTCTGCAGAGTCCTGGGCCCCGCCTGAGCAGGCCTGCCTGGCAAGCTGGGACATGCCTGCCCCAGGAGGACCTTCGGTGGGCGATGGCTGCGGTGGTGGAGGGGCCGGAGGCAAAGGAAACTGCAGCAGAAGACAGAGCAAGACTTGCCATGAAGGCTGCAGATGCGGAGCCCGGGGCTGTTTCTTTCTTGGCTGGGAATTGCCTGAACTTGAACCTGTACCCTGGGGGCTGTGTCCGCTTGCTGCACCTGTGTGCTCAGCAGCCCTCACCGCTGCTGCAGGTGGAGTTCTTGCAGCTGAGCACCCAGGAGAACCCTGGGCTTCTGGAAAACACTCTGGCCCAGGTGCCCTGGAGCCAGCTGCGCCTTCGATCTCTGGTCCTCAAAGGTGAGCATCCTGTGCCTGGTGCCCTGGTCTCTACCTCTGACTCTTCCACCTCTGCTTCTTGGTTCTCAAAGGCAACACTGGCCCTAACCACCCCATCTCTCTGTCTTCTCTCCCTGCTTCCCAGATATGAACCTTTGTCCCACCGCTCCCAAACTTTATTTGTTTTTCTGGTATTGGGGATTGAACTCAGGACTTTGCGCTTGCCAGGCAGGCGCTTATGCCACTGAGCTGTCTTTCCAGTCCCTCCCAAACTTTAAAGTTGCTCAGTAGAGTTCTTCATAGATCCCATTTGCTCTTGGGGTGGTGACAAGGGATGCAGTCACCTGACATGAGCTGGTGGTTTCCATCCCTTCTCCTTCCATCTGCCTCTCAGTATCTTTGTCCTTCCAATGTCCATGGCTGAGAGGGAGGCCTTTGCCTCAACAGTGGGTTTGTCTGGCCCCAGGGCACAGCTAGAACCTGGAATCTGACCACATTTGCCTCCCCTACTTCCAGGAGGGCAAAGCCGGGGCGCCCTGGGTGCCTGCCTCCAGGGCACCCTGACCACGCTGCCCGCTGGCCTGAGTGGCCTGGCCTGCCTTGTTCACTTGGACCTGAGCTTCAACAGCCTGGAGACACTGCCAGCCTGTGTCCCGAAGCTGCACGGCTTGGGTACCCTCCTTCTGTCTTATAATCACCTGTCTGAGCTGCCTGAGACCCTGTCTGCCCTGCCCACCCTCACCTTCCTTGCTGTGACACACAATCGCCTGCAGAAACTGCCCACTGCACTGGGGGCCCTGGCTGCCTTGCAGCGCCTTGACCTCTCTGAGAACCTTCTGGACACTCTGCCCCCAGAGATCGGAGGCTTGAGCAACCTGAGTGAGCTCAATCTGGCCTCTAACCGGCTGCGGAGCCTCCCCGCTTCCCTTGGTGAGTAGCAGCCATGCCCCAGGCCTACACTCCAACCTGGGCTCCCCTGCCCTATGGCCTTACCACAAATGAGCCTTCCCGCTTCACTGGCTGCCTCCTTGCTGCTCTCCTAGCTCCCTGAGCTTTGGGACCTCGTGTGCAGCTCTGTCTGTCCTTGGAGGCCCTACATGATCCTCTGACCTCAAGTCTGTGCTTGCCAACAGCGGGGCTGCAGTCACTGCAGCTCCTTGTTCTGCACAGCAACCTCCTGACCTCGGTGCCCACCGGCTTGGCCCAGCTCCCATTGCTCACACGGCTGGATCTGAGGGACAACCAGCTCAGGAACCTGCCCCCTGAGCTACTGGATGCTGCCTGTGTGCGCCTGCAGGGGAACCCCCTGGGCAAGGCCTCACCAGACCCCCCAAACTCCCCAGGTAGGCTTGTTGTGGGGATGGCCAGGTCAGGCCACAGCGAGGACATGTGCACTGTCAGCACCCTGAGGGCTGCTTTCCCTCCTGCACAGGGATACCCCAAGATCTGGAGATGCCCACTCTGTTCCTGACTTCAGATGTGGACAGGTACAGGGTGGGGCAGGGATAGCCACCCTGTTACCTGGCCATGCTGTGTATCTTCCCCATGCCTCAGGCAGGAGTTTCCTTGATCCAGCACGCAGACCCCCCGTGTCTGACCTCACCACCCCTTTCTTCACAGCTTTCCTGTAACCCCACAAGGCTGCTGTGTGACTCTGGCCTGTGGTGTCCGCCTGCAGTTCCCAGCTGGTGCCACCTTGGACCCTGTCACCATCCACTATCGACTGTGGCTGCCGGAGCCAAGCCTCGTCTTCCTGGGCCCTCACGACTCTCTGCTCAGTGGTGTTCTGGAGTTGTGGCCTCATGGTGTGGCCTTCCAACAGGCACAGCTGGGGCTTGTGGGGGGCGGGGGAGGGGGAGGCAGAGGTCCGAGGCAGGCCTCCAGCCTCACACTGCCATCATCTGGCAGGATGTGAGTCTGTGGCTGCTCTTTGTCCCACCACGAGCCCGTCGTTGCCATGAGGTTGTGGTCAGGACACGGAGTGAGGACAGCTGGAGGGACCTGGAGACCCACCTGGAGGAGGAGGCCCCAAAGGTGCGGGCTGCCTGGGCCTGTGGGCAGAGGTGCAGAGAGTGGCCACCTCACCCCGTCACTTGGTTCATAAGCTTTGCCTTGATTCTGTTTCTTTCTGCCCTGCCCCCATGTTACCCAGCGACTCTGGGCTCGCTGCCAGGTGCCCCACTTCTCCTGGTTCCTTGTGGTTTTACGCCCTGTGTCCAATACCTGCCTAGTGCCACCAGAAGGGACATTGCTGTGCTCCTCAGGTCATCCTGAGGTCAGGGTCATCTTCCCTCCAGGGGCCACTGATGAGCCTTGTCACGTCTCCATGCAGGTACATCAGGGGAGTGCCCAGGATGGCAGGTGACTGCATGCATTGGGTACTGAGGGGCCGGTCTTGTTCTTCAGGTGGTACGCATGGCTATCCGGGAGCTTCGCGCCCTCCTGGGGGAGCCAGAGGCTGCTGTGAGCCCCTTGCTGTGCCTCACGCAGCAAGGCCCTGCTGGCTTTCTCTGCCCAGTCACTGTGCAGCTGCCCCTACCCCCTGGTGTCACAGGTGAGAGACTGGCAAGCTGCATCTAGAGACCTGTGGCACAGGGTGGAGAGGGTGATGCCGGGAAGGAAGGCCTTGGCCATGGCCTCAGCCTGTTGCCTCTACTGTCCAGGCTTCAGTCTGGACCGCTCTCGTCTGCACCTGCTGTACCGGGCCCCTCCTGCAGCCACCTGGGATGACATCACAGGCCAAGTGGCTTTGGAGCTTACCCACCTGTATGCGCGCTTCAAGGTCACACATTTCTCCTGGTCAGTGCCCCTCCTCCTTCCCCAGTGCCCCTCTCTCGCCTGCCCAGCCACATCTCACCCCGACATCCCAGGTACTGGTTGTGGTATACCACCAAGAATTGCGTGGGGGGCCTGGCGCGCAAGGCCTGGGAGCGGCTTCGGCTTCACCAGGTCAACCTCATCGCTCTGCAGCGCCGCCGGGACCCTGAGCAGGTGCTTCTGCAGTGCCTGCCCCAGAACAAGGTGGGCCTGGGAACTAGAGGGGGTGATCTAAAGGCCAGAGGTCCAGGTCCCTGGATCCAAGGTGTGTGGTTGTCAGCAGGTCGATGCCACCCTTCGACGGCTGCTAGAGCGCTACCGCGGCCCTGAGCCTTCTGACACTGTGGAGATGTTTGAGGGGGAGAAGTTCTTCGCTGCCTTTGAACGGGGGATTGAAGTGGATGCTGGTAGGCCCCCTGCCTGGAGAGGGCTTGGGTCTGCCTTTTCTCCTGTCCCTACTAGGCTGTTCCCCACCCCTAGACCGCCCAGACTGCACAGAAGGCCGGATCTGCTTTGTCTTCTACTCACACTTGAAAAATGTGAAGGAGGTGTACATCACTACCTCCCTGGACCGGGAGGCCCAGGCTGTGCGAGGCCAGGTGGGCAATAGAGTGTGGTCCTCTAGGTGGCCTGGGGAGACAGTGCCCTGAGTGCCCTGTCTCCCTAGGTATCCTTCTACCGTGGCTCAGTGCCCGAGGAGGTACCTCAGGAAGCCGAGGCTGCACGGCAGAGGAAGGTTGCCGATGCCCTATGGATGGCCACCCTGCCCATCAAACTGCCGGTGCGACAAGCTGCAGGAGAGGAGGGACAGAACCTTGGGGGTTCCAAGGACAGAAGCATGATGTAGGGCGGTGTTCCTTCCTTCCAACAGAGACTTCGGGGATCTTTGGGGCACAGGCAGGGGCCTGGCTCCTCCTTGGTGCCTCTGAACCTGGGTGATGCTGAGACTGGCTTTCTGACTCAGAGCAACCTACTGAGTGTGGCCAGGCGCCTGGGTCCTGACTGGCCAGCTGTGGCCCTGCACCTGGGCCTGCCCTATCATGAGCTGGAGTGCATCCGACACAAGTTCCGGTGAGCCCCTTCCTGTGCCTTTGGCCTGGGCAGAGCCCTGGCTCTGGGCCCTGCTTATCCCTCCCAGGGAGGTGGGGCATGGGACAGCACCATCCCGTAGAGTGGGGGTCTAGTCACAGTGGCCCAAGGAGTGGGGATCCCCTTACATAGGGAGTGAGCCTTGGGGTGGTAGGTGGACTGGGCAGGACTCCTGTCACCACCCCTTTTCCTCCAAGGGATGATCTGGACGGGCAGATTCGCCACATGCTTTTCTCCTGGGCGGAGCGCCAGGCTGGGCAGTTGGGGGCAGTGGGGCGCCTGGTGCAGGCCCTGGAGCAGAGTGACCGGCAGGATGTAGCTGATGAGGTTCGGGCAGTCTTGGAGCTTGGCCGCCACAAGTACCAGGACAGCATCCGTCGCATGGGCCTGGCACGCGAGGACCCTGCCCTGCCAGATGGCTCTGTCCACAGCCCCTAGAGCCTGCCCAGGCCTAGGGCACAGGCTGGGGCAGAGGCAGGGGCTGATTATGCCCTGGCCCCAACTGACAGCACCCCTTGTGCAACAAGTGGCATCATTTCCTCTGTGTCGGCTTGGTTTATTGTCTGGTGGAGACGGAGTTGGAGGGGGGTGGTCTGACCATGGAGCCAGACCCTGCTGGGGCGGGGGGCTTCCCACCAGCCTCCTGCTGCTCCTATCTTTGCAGGGGTGGGAGGGTCAGCTGAACTCTAAGAAGTGAAGGCCAAGGGAGGGCCTAGTGGTGCCCGCCTGTAATCTAAGCACTTGGGAGGCTGATGCAGAAGGGTCATCCTGAATCTGAGGGCTGAACCATTCTTTCTCAAAAACAAGTGAAGGCTGAGTGAGGCAGGCTGGGCACACATACCCTGAGTGGTAGGACCGCCTCGGCCATGGGCTATCGCGGGGCCAGCTCAGTCCAGGTCCACCTTTACCCTGCCTGCTCCTGCCATGCGCGCGGGGGAGGGGGGGGATCCGGAGACCACGGCGGCCGGCAGGGGGAGCCCAAGCGCACGTGGGCGGGCGGAGCCGGGCGCACGCACCGCGGGGCGGCGAGCGCGGCGG